ATATATATATATATATATATATATATATATAATTCTTCTTCGCAAAAATCACCTGACCGTATTTGGTTGAAAAGAAAAAGAATAGATAAGAAATATGATGGATGAACAATAGAAAAAATAGAAATATAATGAAAAAAAAGGTGAGAATCAGAGAAAAAGTACAAGTATTTAATTTAAGAAAATTAAATAAAATAAGAAAAAGAGAATATAAACTACTTTTCATTTCCACCCATTTAAGTGAAATGATCTATTTAATAAAAATTTCATATTTAATTTTTGTCATATACAAAAATCTTTCGAATGAGTAATAATTATAGTAGGACGAATGAAATAAATCTTTAAAAATTTGAGTTGAAAAATACCCATGACAATAAAAAAACACACACACACACACATTCTTCATTAATAATTTCTATTCTGTTTCTTCTCTTTCTTTCCTATTTTTCTTCAATTCCAATATTACCATACAAAGGAAAAATGGTGGTATATTGACATACATCTCAATTAACCCTAATTATATATTTTCTATCTTTCTATTTTCTCACATCATATAATGTATCACATCTATATTTCTCTTTCTTTTCTCATTTTTGGTTAGAGAAAAAAAAATATTTCTAAAAGTAAAAGTTAAAAAAAAGAAAAGAAAAAAGAAAAAACTTATACTTTCTCTTTCAAACCTTTTTTTTCCTCCTCCCTCGTTTTCCTAATGCTCCTAACATGCCATTGTGTCCACACATTTTTTTTCCTAATGACTCGAGCATCACCCGTGATTAAAAAAGATGATAAGGAGCATGACGTTTGTGGATGATTGCCTCAGTTGAATCTACGAACTGATAAGGTAACAGGCAGTGTGTGATTCAAATTCATCTCACAAACTTTCTGTGAAACCTTCAATTGAATAATTGAGCAGATATTATGCAAAGTGATGGATGGGTGTGTGGTGCACATTACAACCAATAAAGTTTTGTTCTGCTTTTGTACAACATCATTCATGTTGTAAGGACACGTAAACCATGTAATGTGCCTTTCATGAATTTCTACAAAATTTTATAAAATCAATTCCATTTCTAGGAAGTGACTCAGTCCAATGCCACTCTTCTATAATACCGTTTTAATGTAGACATTATTATATATTGATAGATTATGTCTTTCTTCTATCACAGAGTTTAAAAAAAACATTATTAATTGATAGATCATCATCATCATTCCACTTGTCTATCATATAAGGTTTAAAATAAACATCATTGTTCATAGATAATGCATCTCATCTAATGAACAAGAAGACACTTAAGAGCATGTGTTAAATAGAGAAGAACCTGATCAGCATTTATAACTAAGGACAAACCTGCTGGGGTCACGTCTTCAATTCTGCACCATCTGAATATTGACACGTTAGAACGACACTCAGTACTACAAACAAGCTTGGAATAATTGTTATAGAAATAAGAAATTGGTCTTTTTGAAATGGTACTGATAGATACTTATGGCCAATGAAATCAAGACAACGGGCACAATGATGAAATATGATGACTTCACATGTCACTTTAATGTTTCTGTTTGCTTATGATCAAAGAGAAAGGACGGTGTAAGTTACGTAAAGGATGAAAACAATTCAACACTAATCTCAAGCACGTAGCAGTTACCTCTCTAATTTCCAGCAATTTAGCTAACGAGAAGAGCAATGAAACTACAATTTAAGACCTTATCCTAAACAATAGAGACAAATTTACTCAGAGGCACACACATACACCTACCGTTAGACATGGTTTGATTAAAACACTAGACAAAACTGAACTGAACTAAACTTATTTTATAAGAATGGTTTGATTCAGTTTTTCCTTAAATGGTTCAGTCTTTTATGATCTAGTTCAGTTTGATTTTTTCTCGCTATATGCATGATTGAATCGAATCAAAAGGTTCAGTTCCAACCTAACTTGTTTTTATAGAAATGGTACGGTTTGAGTTTTTTTCTCAAATAATTCAGTTTTTATGGTTTGATTTGGTTCGGTGTTTTTAGTTTTTACACATCCATACCTACTTCAGTTATGTTGTATGGGCCTGGTTGTGTAATAGAAAATGTTTCTTTGGGTTTGAACTAAGAAGTCCATATCATAGTGAACATGTGTGAAATCAGTTGATAGATTGAACCAGCTCAGGCCCGGTCCATCCCAGCTTGGCCCAGCCCATTCATTCAGTTGATACGAAAATATAAAATCCATTAAGATTTAATTTCGGAAGGGCCTAGTAACGGCCTGTTACTAACTGGGCCTTAGGATCATTGTACATCTCAAAATCAGCAAGATCTTACCATGTGGGTTTGATACACTTCCCCACCCCAAAAAAAAAATGTTCTGTATGCCATATGTGAAGAGAGAAGTAGAATCTCTTCAAAAAAAACCTTCATAAATCTCTGGGAAAGAAAGCATATTATTATAGACATAAACTATCATGGTTTAAATAAAATAAAAGAATAAAGTAGTTTAAATGAAATCAAATTTGTAAAAGAGCACAAGTTGGTTGATACAAGTGGTCTTGATAAAATAAATATATGGGCAATTAATCTCTGCTGATGATTCCAAGTTTAAGTTTTGCAATTATATGTCTTCCACTCTAATAGAATGTGTATTAGGTTAGACCCAAGAGGGTGAGTAAAATCTTAACCATACAATAAAAAGTTGAAATAATTTTAGCAATTCATATACAATTGTATAAGATTAATTCCTCTAACCACTCAAGCTTTCACTAGAGACACGGCGTGTCATGGCACAATGCATCAACATGTTGCTACATACAGACTGCACTAGCATCATATGAAACAAACTCCACAAGAGGAAAACAAAGTATCAGAGGAGGATAAAGAGATCATGAAGTATAAGAAGAATCAGTGTTAGATTAAGTTCACTTCTAAGAGGACTAGTAGTTAACAAAGTTGTTGTTTACCTTTGGTAGTTGATTAAGATTCCTCCCCTTCCTCAAATCTAAACCAACAATAGGATTAACCACTGTCACCAAAATAGGATAAACCATTCATAAGATCAACAAAAATAAACAAACACCTACATAAACTAGGCTTATTCCAAGATGTTGCTACACTTCAAATTGGATTGTGTCCTTCTAACTTTCACCTATAAAACAAGCATCAACAACATGAATAAACCTTCTCTGCAATCTTCTTTGGTCTGAAAAACCTGGTCTTCAGAACACGAGAGTTACTCTGCTAATGATATCTTGATTAACAAAAACAAGGCCAAGAGAAAAGCCATTTGAGATAACTTGCCCCGCATTCCATACCTTAGACCATGATGACCATCTAAATCCAATTTACCAGAACATCAAATATTCAAAGTGAAGTGCAATAGAATCATGCATAACACTCAGAATAAAGAAGAAGAAACGAAGTTGAAGCTTCAAACAAGCTCTGCATCAGCCTCTTGGCAACAGATTCACACCGCTAAAGGAGTAAAAAGTACCGTTCCTTATATTTTGGTTTTGGTGAGGATTGAGGAACCGTTCCTCTTAAGTCCATGCAAGCCTTCTATTCCACTCTTACAAGGGTACCCATATAAAGCACAAAATAATAAATAAATAAATAAATAAATAAAAAGAAGATACCATCAACTTGATTATGTACCAATCAGAAATTAAGCCCGTCAACTTGGAATATTGGAATATCTGCCAATCAGAAATTTAATCCATCAACTTGCATAAATTATTCTATGGCCTAAGATATTAGATATTTATAGTTCCATTTATCTTTATGCGATATTAAAAAAAATTCAGGTACGTAACACATAAAAATTATATGAAAAAACGTAAAGACACATAACATTCCTCACATTGTAATAATTTGTAGCCAAGGTGACAATTTGAGACATGGTGCAGTTAGTTCAATACAGCTGTAACATAAATGTTATTTTGTTACACTGAAAAGTAAAAAGAAAGAAGAATATATAATCCGCGGATCCGAAGAAGACAGTGACATGCATAAGATTTGATGGTTGAAGGTTTCATAATTTAAGGATCCACGCCAGCATGCGTTGTCAAGCAAGTTGTGTTGAAATTGGAAGTGTCCAGGGTGTACGAGAGGATAAGATATCTTTCCATCATCACGCATAGGACGAGAGCCACAAGCTTCATGCCATTGTCCCATGCCCTGCCCATACGTAATTAAACTCTCTTTTCTTTTTCTGTCCTTTCACTAATATCACATTTCAACTAACAACACTAAACACGATAATTAGATTCTTGTTATTTGATAAATGATTATGATATTCTTCCATTCTTGTTTGAATATTGTTGTTTTCTTATTTCATTTTAATTGATGTTTATCATATATCAATAGACCTTTTTTGTTTTAGGTTTTATATCCTTACCATATAACTAGTATCTGCATATTTGATACTGTATAGGAGATATGATAAAAAAAAAAATTTTTGGCATAATTATTTCGTTAATAAGCAAGTTAATTATTTAATTTACCTTTCTTTATCTATTATGAAAAATCAACTAAATTTATAGTAATATATAAAGGAAATATTCTTTTTTAGTAATCACCTTTCTCTACAATTTTTGGATCATTATATCTTTCTATTTTAAAAATATTAAAAAAATACTTTTTTATCAAATTTAAGAACATAAAATTAATAGATTAATCATAACACCAATTATATTAATATATTTTTATTATTTAATTTTTATTTTATTTTATAAATTATTTTATCTTTTATTTATTTTTTAATAATTATTTTTTTATGAATAATTGTTTATTTTTTTAATATAATACAGACAGGGAGTGTTTTTTTGTAGTGGAAATAAAGGAATTATATTATTATTTATTATTTAATTAAAATAAAGTAAGAACAAATAAAGAGACGGGTAATGTCGTCAGTCTGTCTAGTGCCCTTACAATCAAAATTTTGATCTATATCAGCAATAGTTGACAAAACATAACAAGATAAAGGTCATATTAAAATATTTCTTCCAGAAATATTTATAAAATAAGAATAAAAACAAAATAAAAGTATCTAAAGATAAAAAAATAACTTATACATATATTGATTTGTAAAAATTAAAGTATTTTTTCTTACTGTAATTAAAAGTATCTATTTATTTTTATAAAAATCAATTCGAAGAGGTATACCTCCTTATAAAAAAATAATTTTTAAACTTAATTTGTAAAAAAAAATATTTTGTTTTATTTCCTTTTGTAGAAAATTTTATACAAACATACTTAAAGCATGAGAAAATATGTGATATATTAATAATGAAAAATAACTTTGTATTATTATCCAATCATAAATTATAATATATAATTATTTTATATTACATAATCATTAAACTCTTAAAATATATATACTCTACGATCAGGTTTGAATTTTCTTATGTAACATTTTATTTAACAAAATCTTAGCCTTTAACTAAAAATAAAAATGTTCAAATAGTAAAAGAAAAAAATATATATGAGATTTTGATAATGAAAATTTCCACATAAAAATACATTTCCCTAACAATCACGTAAGAGGCTTCAAGGATAAAGAGGGCAACACAAATGTGAAGGAAAAATCATGAAAGGCTTGCCCTGGCTTGGAGAGTTTAAGAAGGGATGGATTACGGGTGGGCAACGGGCGGGTTCGGTCGGATTCGGGTGAAAAATGTTCAATTCGTTGTAAACTGATTTTGGAAAATGTGACTCATATCTGACCGACTGAACTTTCGGTTTGAGGCGGTTCGGGTTGAAATAGATTTGGATTTGGGCGAGTGAGTACAATCGGGTTTAAAGTTTTTTGTATATCAAATTATTTTAACGAAGGTGAAGCTTAAAATGATAAAAAAATAATTTTAAAATAGTGTATAAAAATAGAATGAGGGTGACAATAGATGTTGTAAGTAAATTCGTAGATGAAACATTTACAAACTAAAGAAAAAAAAGATAACAAAATTCATAGTTGTTACATATAAAAGAAATCTAAAGTTAGATTACAAAACTATAAGAAATCACAGCCGCACAAGTTGTACTCAAAATGGAGATAGAAAGATGGAAAAGAAAGACAAAGAAAGAGACAAAAAGAAAACTCTAAAAATGGACTAGTGTGTTGAGAAGTTAAATGAGGAAGGAGAAGATAAAAAAATCATCTAGGTTATGAGAAAAAAGAAAAAAAAATTACAAATGGATAACTATATTATACTTGAAATAAAGACTTTTGAGTTTGGACTATTGTTGTTTAGTTATACAAAAATAATAAAAATATAAACTTATCTTATTTTTGGTTGGATTTAGTTTTTAGCTGGTTTAAAAATTCAAAACCGATCCACCCAATATAACTCGTATAAAATCAAAATTTTAACCCAATTTACTCATAAAACCCGCCCGAAACCACCCAAAAATAATATTTTTTATCGAGTTTTTAAATTTCGGTTCGATTCTCGATTTTATGCGGATGGATACGTGCTTAAAGTTATGATTGGAAATGCTGACCTGACATATAACAATATATATCTAAGAAGATAACCAAGAAGTCACCTTTCAAGAAATTCCATAACACCCAATTTACCCTAAAGAAACATCATCATGATCATTCCCGAAAATATAGGGCCCAAAAAATAACTTAAAATATCTATTTGAACCGCCACCCCTCTAACTAGCAACACTTTCAATTTAGACATATATATTAAGCAATTTTTCATTATGTGTGATCCAATTTTAATTTAGTTTAGCACACAAAGATTTCTAGACATTCCTCAATGATTATCGTGAAATAGGATTCATGCATATAAACATTCAAATGAAATGAATGTGTACCTGTCTAAGGGCACACTCGTAGTCTTTTAGTAACTAGAAGACCGAACGAGAGCATCGAGTTGATGCTTTAGAGGGGGGAGGTACCTGCAAAAGGCACTCCGACGCTCAAGTCAGGACAAACATAATTCTCGAGAGTAATAAATGAACAGTGACATACCTCGTTTCGTGTGACTTATTTATACTACCTGTCATGGGCCTGAGCAGGGTGGGCCTTCTCTGACATTTACCGAATTAGGTAATACGATGTTAATCGGCTGGTTACGCCTTAATTGCGTGTTGTCTTTCGTTAACCATGATTATCATCCTAACTATTCTCTATTGGTCCTTGGCCGAGCCGACAGGGCACGTTAGAGACAACCCTTTGGCCGAGCCGATAGGGAACGGTCGAGACAACCTCTGGCCGAGCCAACAGGGCATTTTTAACAAGGGGAAGCACGCGATTAAGGCCACATGGACCGACACGTCATGTCCTATCAGATATTGACGCAGTTTGGACACTACTTCGGCTCGGTAAGGGGCCGAGAACCATGGAGAATTCAACCCTCTTCCTATCGGTTCGACCAGAGAGGTTGTCTCGACCGTGCCCTGTCGGCTTGGCCAGAGGTTGTCTCGACCGTTCCCTATCGGCTCGGCCAAAGAGGTTGTCTCGAACGTGCCCTGTCAGCTCGGCCAAGGACCAATAGAGAATAGTTAGGATGATAATCATGGTTAACGAAAGACAACACGCAATTAAGGCGTAACCAGCCGATTAACATCGTATTACCTAATTCGGTAAAAGTCAGAGAAGGCCCACCCCGCTCAGGCCCATGACAGGTAGTATAAATAAGTCACACGAAACGAGGTATGTCACTGTTCATTTATTACTCTTGAGAATTATGTTTGTCCTGACTTGAGCGTCGGAGTGCCTTTTGCAGGTACCTCCCCCCTCTAAAGCATCAACTCGAAGCTCTCGTTCGGCCCTCCAGTTACTAGAAGACTACGAGTGTTCCCTTAGACAAGTACAGAATGAAAATGTATATTGATAGCAAAAATCATGTTTTGTTTATTCTAGATATTTGTTGAATTACAATGTATAAGGATTATGAGAAGCAACATAACTACAATACTACACTAGACTAACTAAGTTAGGACTACTCTAAGAAAAGAAAAAGGGTGACTAACAAAATCATACTCAACGATCTCCTGCAAAGGAGCCATGGATGCAAGCAGTGGATGCATGTGAATGTATAAGTATTGAATTTTTGACCTTTTCGAATGAGCATGCCTTGTTTATTTATAGGGGATAGGAAAGAGCGGTTACTTTTGCGTTAATTCGACGTGGTGTGTGCAACTGCTCGATGCTACACGATGTGGATAACCCCCTTCAACCGTTTTTAACTTCCTGCAACTACATGTTACATCTTTCATTCTCGAATAATCTCTTCAAGATCCTTAGCTTTAATATTTTCGAGGAATAGTTGTTACTCATAAAACTCTTGTGATCTATAATCGTCCTATCGTCCTATCGTTCACGTGAATGTAAATAATTTCCTTGAACTGCTCATAAGTGTCCTCCTTCAATTTGTCGAACAATTTCTTGAGGATATTTCAATTACTTAAGGATTTTTCACAATTGTCCCAACAATATGTATACATTGCTGTTTGCTTAGTTCAATATTTTGTAGGGTAGGAGTTACATATTCCAATTCAGATAAGGATTGGATTTCTCATGTCACAGAAAATTCTCACTCAAATTTGTATCCGTTAAGATGAATTTTTTCTATCAAAATCAAGTCGAAATTGGATAAATACCTATACGTGCAAGTTCAGACGTCGTCATGCGTTTTTTTTATATCTATTTTAATGTTAGTATAGTTAATTTTATCGGTTTAAACTATTCATGATTATATTTATCTCACATGTTGAAGAAAATTTCAACTTTGAATTTTTTGTGTTATGCGTGTGTTATTATAATGGTTGTCATATACATTTGTTAGTACTCACATTTTAATTTTTGCTAAGTGGGGATATTTAATTCTAGGTTAAATATCTATTTTGGTTCTTTATAATTTT